AGCGGGGCCCCCAGCCCCGCCACCAGCGCCGCGGGGCCCACCAACGGGGGCCCCGGGGGGGCCCCTAGAAGCGACCCACCCGCCTCCGAGCGCTCCAATGGGGGGCCCCTGTCCCCAGGACCGAGGCCCGGGGGGCCCCCACCGGGGGGCCCACAAGGGGGGGGGGCCCCGAAGGCGCCCTTCCCCTGGGGGGCCCCTCCAGGCGGGACCACACTCACCGCAAACCCGGGGGGGGGGCCCACAGCCAGCGGGGCCCCACACAGGGGGCCCTTGTCTAGGGGGCCCCCGGACACGGGGGGCCCCGCCGGGGGGGCCCCACCCAGCGCCGCACCAACCAGGGGGCCCCCAACCAGCGGCTCCTTCTTCAAGGGAGCCCCCGCTAAGTGGGCCCCACCCAGGGGGGCCCCCGCCGGGGGGCCCTCACCCAGCGGGTCCTTGTTCAAGGGGCCCCCGGCTAGGGGCCCCCCAACCACGGGGTCCTTGTTCAAGGGAGCGCCGGCCAGGGGGCCCCCAACCAGGGGGGCCCCCGCTAGGGGGCCCCCACCGGGAGGGTCCTTGTTCCAGAGGCCCCCGGCGAGGGAGCCTCCAACCATGGGGGCCCCCGCCAGAAGGCCCCCACCCAGGGGGTCCTTGGTCAAGGGGCCCCCGGCCAGGGGACCCCCAACTAGGGGGGCCCCAGCCAGGGGGCCCCCAACCAGGGGGTCCTTGATCAAGGGCCCTCCAGCTAGGGGTCCCCCAACTAGGGGGTCCTTGGTCAAGGGACCCCCGGCCAGGGGGCCCCCAACGAGGGGGGCCCCCGCCAGCTGGCCCCCAACCAGAGGGTCCTTGGTCAAGAGGCCCCCCGCCAGGGGGCCCCCAACCAAAGGGTCCTTGTTCAGGGGGCCCCCGGCCAGGGTGCCCCCACCCAGGGTGGCCCCCGCCAGGGGACCCGCACCCAGAGGAGCCCCCGCCAGGGGGCCCCCAACCAAGGGGTACTTGTTCAAGGGGACCCCGGATAGGGGGCCCCCACCCAGGGGGGCCCCCAGCAGGGATCCCCTACCCAGAGGTGCCCCCGTCAGGGGGCCCCCATCCAGGGGCTCCTTGTTCAAGGGAACCCCGGCCAGGGGGTCCCCTCCCAGGGGGGCCCCCACCAGAGGACCCCCACCCAGGGGGCCCCCTGCCAGGGGGCCCCCACCCAGGGGAGCTCCCGGCAGCGGGCTCCCACCCAGGGGGGCCCCCGCCAGGGGGGCCCCACCCAGAGGGCCCTTAGTCAAGGAGCCCCCCGCCAGGGGGCCCCCGGCCAGGGGGCTTCCACCCAGGGGGACCCCACCCAGGGGGCCCCCATCCAGGGGGCCCTTTTTCAAGGGGCCTCCTGCCAGGGCGCCCCCATCCAGGGGGCCCTTTTTCAAGGGGCCCCCACCCAGGGGGCCCCCATCGGGGGAGCCCTTGTTTAAGGGGCCCCCACCCAGGGGGCCCCCATCGGGGGGGCCCTTGTTTAAGGGGCCTCCCGCCAGGGGGCCCCCATCCAGGGGGCCCTTGTTCAAGGGGCCCCCGGCCAGGGGCCCCCCATCCAGGGGCCCCCCATCCAGGGGGCCCTTGCCCTTGTTCAAGGCGCCCCCGGACAGGGTACCCCCATCCAGGTGGCTTCCGGCCCGGGGGCCCCCGGCCAGGGGGCCCCCGGCAAGGGGTCCCTTGTTCAGGGGGCCCTTACCCAGGGGACCTTTGTTCAAGGGGCCCCCGGCCGGGGGGCCCTCACCCGAGGGGGCCCCTGCCAGGGGGGCCCCACCCAGGGGTCCCTTGTTCAGGGGTCCCCCGGCGGGGGGGGCCCCGGCGGGGGGGGGCCGGCC